ATTGCATTAATTATGCAAATGGATATTACTTGCTAATGGTTATATTGCGACTTTCTCCTAGATATGAAATACTTTGTTAAACTAATTAATCAGTCTTTTCACAGTGAAAACTGTAGTCATTTTGTTCTAAAATTGCAATATTAACATTTTAAATATGTATTGAACCAACTATTTCATTTATTTTAGCAGTTTAACAATTTTTACAATTGGCATCTATTATGTGATGAAATGAAAAATTTTAATCATCAAATTTAAGGATGACATAATATGCTTTATCAGACATTCATAGGATATCATTTTTTCATTTCATAAAAATGTCTTCATATTAAAGTGAATTTTAATGAGATTACAAGATAGAGTTAGATCAAAAAGAGAAGAAGAAAGGACAAAAGCTTAATTTCATTTTTATGTAAATTTTACTGCACTGATAATTTTACACAAAATAAAAGATCATCGCATAGCATAAATTATAGTCTTTCCCTTTAAGCTAACTAGATGAAATAAATAGTTGTTACGGATCAGTATAATGCTACTATCATTATGTCAAGGTCGATCAAGTACAATCATAAAAACTGTAAGTTTTCGCAATCTATCTTTCCATTTGAAGTCCATCACTGTGATTTTTGCTTGACATATATCACCGATAAAAATAAGTAAAAAAAAAAAACCTTCGGAAGACATTATCATTTGCCATACGAAGGGATATCATCAAAAAGTCTGAAGAAAAACTTTCGGCATTTCTTTCTCTATGTGAACTATTTTTGTACGCAAATGACAGTCGGCGAATATGTCATGACAAAGCGCACTTTGTAATAAAACTTCAATCAAAAGTTATTTTATTAAAGGAATGAATTTTTTTTAAGGCACAACAACAGCATTTCATCACATTTCAATTAATTTTTCGGATTGGCATTGAAATTTAAATATAAAAAATTCCTTCTTACTGCTTTTCATACTACAAAATTTACACAAATTGAGTTAAATTTGTCATTTCGAACATATAGAAGCATCGTTAGATGGCAGCGGCTTTTAAATGATATTACTGTACATCAGTTGGATTGGTTTTGAATTCATCAGAAATATTTCATGAAATTCCCCCAAAAGGATCAATTATGGTAAATGTTAGATTTAAGAATGAAATAATTGCAAATATGAATAGAAATATAATTTATAAAATCATAAACTTCAATGAAAAGACAAAATTTGTAATTAAGTAAAATTTTTATTAAGTATTGTAGTTAACGCATTATTGAACTTTTTGTTATTAAGAATGTTTATCACCAAATATACTATTTATTTCTTCCCAAATGTTTGTTTTTGCGTTCGAACTTCGCGTTTATCAAAATAATTTTTGGCATTTTTATCTTTCCTATCCTTTTTCCCCTTACCCCTGCCTCCCGCTTCTCCTTGGCAACATTTATCATAAATAATTAATTCCCAAAAAAATTCAAAATTTAAGTTTATCTCGGAAAACTTAATAGATGAAAACAAAAAAGAGCAAACAAATAAAAGAATTGACATCCGATTTCCGAAAGAATAATTTCTTTCAAAAAAGCAAAAATTGGTGAATTAATTGCTTGATAAATGCGAAATTACTTCTGTAATTGTTGATTTGTGGTAATTTTCATATGTATAAGACCAAAATTTAAAATGTTTCCATACGTGTAAGATTAAAATTTAAAATAAATCTTTCGAAAAGAAAAATTAAAAAATTCGTGATGTTCATATATATATATAGATTAGATAGATATAGATATGCCTAAAATTGTGTTTTACTTACATCACTTCTTTTTTCATTTCTTTAACCAATAATTTTTTTCATTTATTACAATCTGCTATTTACGCATTTGTCAAATCGTTTTCTTTGGATTAAAGTAAATTGCTTTGTGTATTTTGACTTCGATGGGTCCATTCATGGCTCTTTTGCCATTCCTTTTTTTTTTTTGAATTAAAAGGAACTTTCTGATTTTCCCGAAAGAACTATTTCCAAGTAATAAATTATAATTATTTTCATGGCTTAAATTGATGATGCCTTTCACTTTATATAACTATTCGTACTTTGTACCCTTCATTGGCAAATTCTTTTAAATTCAAATCTTTTAAAATACTTAAACTTATATAATATTAATTTTGGGTGGAATTACACAAGAGAGAAAAAGAGGAAGAGTTTGAAGGAAGAGAGAGAGGGACGGAGAGAGAGAGAGAGAGAAGAAATAAATA